TACAAAAAAGTGTGCAATTAAAATTATTTGATAGGATAGATATTTTAATATTAAAAATTATTTTTATTTAATTATTTTTGTTTTGTAAAATAATAAATTTAAGTGCACATTAATATTAAATATTAAGAGTTTTTTAAATTTTAAAATGATATCATTTTAAAACTTATACATTTTAAGCACAAATAAAATTATTTTAAAGTCAAGATAGTAAAGAGGTAACCTAAAATTATGTCATTTTAAAATTTAGGCATTCTATAAACCTAACACGGTGCAATTTGATTGTTACTTATTCCGAGTCTATTCCTGACTCTGAATCTGGCATGACAGGTTGATTTCCATATAGCTCAGGAGCTTGTAGTGGCAATTTCTATACTTTGTGGCCCTGTTATTCTGCTTAGGCGATTGTCTTGACAATCTCTTAGTTTTAAATGACTTTTTATTATTAATTGTTTACATTGTTTACGTTTGTTTACGAGCATTTATTACTTATTATTATGTATTGTAGATATAATTTATAAGTTTTTGTGAGTTTATTTAGAGATTATGATTTGTTGCATAATTTTTATTTTCTTCTAGCTATGGGGCACCTATCATAGGTTTACACATATAAAACAAAATTATTTTGAGTTTATATAAGGCTCCTAATTTTAGGAATTTTTATTTTTTTAGCCACTTTCATAAAATTTTACGAAGTGAATTACTATGTTAATTTACTACCTTTAACATAACTCCATTATTTTTCTATTATTTTGAGTTGCACAATAAATATTAATTTTCTTTTATCTGTTTGTTTAAATAATTGGCCATTTCTTTTTAATATTGTAACACTAAATATGTAATGTTTTTAATTTTTAACCATAAATAAATAAAAAGTTAACCATGAGTAATTGCAAAGTTAAAGTTTGGTGGGTTACCTTGAACAGAACTCATTAATTAATTAATTAATTAAAGGACAATAAAAATAAAAGTTCAATATTTTAAAGTGACAAGGATATATAACATTTTAAGGTGTGCTAATGCATTCCACCCTTTTAGTTGGCTGCCTTGATTTTTTACAGGTAACAAATAAAATTACCTAATAAAAATTATTTACAATATTAAAATTAAGGTTATAACAATCTTATATAAAAGATTTACACATGAATCTTACACGAAGTCATAATTACTCCCTTCATTCTAAAATAATAGATGTTTGTCCTTTTTGATTTTATCTTTAAATTAAGCATTTTGGAACAATTCCTATTTTTACCTGTTTTACTCTTATAAAAGAAATAAAAGTAAAGAGACTTATTTATGATATGATGAATAATTAAAGGTTAAAAGATAATGATAAGATTAAAGAAGGGAAAAAATATTTATTTTTCTTAAAAAATGAAAAACAACTATTATTTTAAGACAAATTTTTAATCAAAAGTCTTATTTTGAGATAAAAGGATATTTTTTTCTCACTATGTAAATGACTTAAATTTATCATAATATTTTTAAATGAAAATGCAATTAAATTTAAAAAAAAAGATAAAAAAATCTCAACCATTCATAATAATAAGATGCATAATCGAAATTTTGTGTAATTCTTTTAATTACTAAAAAGAAATAATTTTAATTAAAGGGTTAAATTCTTCATTTATTTTATGCAAGATTTATAATAAATAATAAAGAGAGAAATAGCTAATGCTGTTATCCCATGCCCCAATAACACAAGGTTAAAAAGCTCTTCATTTTTAAGAAAGTAGTGTTATTCCCACGAGATGGGATGTTCTCGCAAAGAAAACAAGATGAGTTGTTCTCCAAATGGATAACTTATTTTGCCATCGTGAATTAGTGGTGTAGTTTCTTCTTAATCCCTAAGTCATGACGTTTGATTGATGTTTCCCTTTTCTTTTTTTAATATATAGATTTCTTTGAAAGAGGGTGTTTTTGGTGTTTAATTATATATGGACATAATAACTAAACGCAAATACAATGAATCGTTAACGTCACATTAATTACTTTTATTTGTTAAATTATATTTTTATTCACTCAACTTCATACAACAGTTCATCTTAAATAAAGAAACAAAATAATAATTTTTATGTAATTTTAATATATTGTATAATTATCACTATATTTAAATTAATTTATACATATTTCAAGTCAAACAATTATATATAAAAGCTTTGATTCTTGAATGTCCTCATAGGTTATCTTTTGTAATGTTTTTTAGTGACTATGAGTTGAGTACCACTTGTACTCCTCGTCATAATAAAATTTGTTTCATCTAAAAAACAATTATATATAAGAATGCACACCCCAAATGGAGGCTAATCCTTCCTTGAATACCGCTCCTAAATCTTGAAATCTAGAGTTAGTTTATGGTACCTCCGATGCATTTTATTTGTCATATTTTTTGAAAGAGATAATTTAATTTATTTATTAGTTTTAATTTTTATTATAATATTAAAGTCTTTTTTATTTTATGCTTATTAATAATTACTCTATCTTTTAAAAAATACATTTCAATTTCTTAATTTCCTCATTAATAAAGATAAATATAAAATTTTAATTAATAATAAGTATGTTTTTTTAAATATTTATAATTTTTCCTATAACCATGGTAAATAAAAGTGTAACAATTTAAATCAACTGAAAATAATAATTAAGACAACACATACGTATTGGTAATCCAACTCTTAGGCTTATTTTTGGTTAGAGCACGATTGTATTTATAGGTGGATTGTTTTGCAGGGATGATTATGTTGCTAGGCAGATAGTTTATGTAAGACTCTTGCATTTGGTTACTTTGGAGAAATTTTCCTTTCAGTAATTATAATAAACTATATTGAAAAGGTAGTTAGTTATATTTCTCTTTTACTGTTTAGGTTATTATTATAAAGTAAAACATAATTCATTACCAAGGAAAATATATCAACTTACAAAGTAAAATATAGTAATTACAAAACTAAAATAATTTCTTACAAAGTAAAATATAATTGATTGCAAAATAAATATAATTAATTACAATCTAAAATATACTTGGTTACAAAATAATATATAACCGGCTTTTTATAACAAAGCCTACTACAATATAAAAATCAATTACTCAATCTTTTGTTAATTAGTTATTGCATAAATATAATGAATTATATAAACTATATAATTGCTTTTCAAAAAAAAATATAAACTATATAATTGATTATAGAAATTTCCTTGGAAAATTATAAAGATATTCATGTCATTTCTTGCACTAAATGCCAATATTTAGAGGGCAATTTCGGCATTTAATTGCTCTTCATCACGCCACTTGTTCGGGAAGGTTTACTTCCCATAGTTTTGATCAGGAAAAAGAATCCTGGCTAAAGTCTGATTCTTTTTTCTCAAGAAGTAAACTTTACCAGTGAACTTTGAAACTAA